AACTATAAATTGAAAATACTAAGAAAACTACAATTACATTTTTGAATCTCTGAAGTAGAGACAGAGCTCTGACTAATCATATAGCACCCCCTGGCAGACAGTCATTAAAGTCAGCTGGGAGAAGCTTTCTGCATTTTATCTTTCTATTGCATATTAAAAGAGAATGAAACTATTGGAGAAGAGAATTAAAAAGGGATATACTAACAAATTAGTTAACCCACAGGAATTCAAATGATCTTGTGAAGAATTCTGTTGAGCAGTTGCTAAAATAAATTACACAAATGAAAACAGACAGATGAAAATAAATTTCTTTTTAACAAAGCTATTTTAAATGACAAATTAACACCATTTAGGCTCGTGTTGGGACCAAAAGACTACTAGAGATAGCTTCCATGTTGCCATACTTTGACAGAAACTGCAACATGAATGGGGGGAAAAAAATCACTTGGCAAAAGCATTTTAAAAAAATAACCCATCTCTCAGAACACAACTCTATAGATCTGTTCTTTATGACACAAACTCAGGGTAAACTGCTGCTGGACATGGCGTTTCTTACTACTTCCACAAGAAATCTTGTTTTTCATCAAGCAGCCTTTCCTGAGCCTGGAAGATTTTCTTTCAAAGTATCTTCTGGGCATTTTGGCCCAATCTTTTTCCTGGGTAACTTTTACAGCCATTCTCCTGGCTGCACTCAGCTGTTCTGATTTCAGAACAGCAAGTGACCCTACAGTACTGTCTCCAAATCCAGGGAGGATTTACATCATGTGTTCAGATTAACCAAGCTTCCCAGCCAAATCCCCAGAACCCTTGAGTTTCTATCCAAATCTTTCATCCTCCCCTTAAAAACAAAGAAAACATGGTCTGAGCCATTACCCTGAGCCACTGCCTGAAATTCATAGCACAGTTCCAGCAATATGGCAAATGTTTAATACAGTAATAACGAAGTAATGGGAGAACTGGGAGTGGGGTGAGATTTGGGGTTTTGGAGGAGAGGCAGGCAATACTGGTGGTCAGGGAGACTTACAGTGTCACTAGAAATAGCAGTCTGCACTACTATCATCCAGAAAAGACTCTCCCTCATTAAAGAATCCAAGTAGCCATAAGATAAACACGAATTTCCTTGCATGCACACAATTAGTTTTAAAAAAGTAATAAAGTACAAGTAAAGAGATGGTCTGTTACAAGCAGAATTTCAAACCAACCCATAGTAGCCCTCAGTCTATTGAACAAGATGTGATTTTACTGATGACACTAAGTTATTCAAGGTAATTAGAGAATTTGACTGAAGAAAGATTCAGAGTAGGACTCTGACAATGAAGTAGAAGCTTTTATTCAGCAAATCTCAAAATAATGACAATGAGGTAACTCATAGTTGTAGAGGTTTTTGCAGGTGCTGGAAACTAATATGAGTTCAAAAGGAAACAAGATTTTCATGTCAGAAAATGCCACTGTTTACTTTCCATGTATGCAGGAGTCACTAGCAAGTCAGGAATTTAGAGTGCTGAATAACATAAGGGATAGGGGAAGGGAAGCAAATACTTGCTCTGTTCTTGGATTCTTACTTAAGCATCTTATTTGTGGCTACCCTTGAACTGCAGTTAACAAGTCACATGGATCCACTGCTGCGAGTTTTGTTGTTATATAACATTATTCACTTGATGAATTAGTGAACTTGTGAATGAAGGTGCTTACAGTCACTTCCACATTGTTGGAGTTACAAGTTTCCTGAATTAGTACATGCCTTCCTCCTTTTTCCCTTTGAAAACTTAACATTGTAAGCAAATGCAATATGCTGTCTTACACCACCTTATCTTTGTCAAAGATAATTGACATTATTACAAGGCTGAACTGATAATTTCAGATAGAAGTGTTTTGGTGATTACTAGTGCAAGCACTGATATTGGCAGCTGAGGATGTACCTCAAATTTACCTTGCATATTTAAAATGCACTTTGAACATTTTTAAGAGACTTCATTGTACTTCAGTGTGTAATTGTACTTCACTGTAATTCAGCACTTCTAAATTGTTACACCTTAACACTTGGATTACACTTTCAAATCAGTCTCTCTAGTACAGGGCAATAAAGTGCTGGGATAAGCCAGTATGGGCTCTGTATTGGCAGGCTCTAGTTTGGGCAGGGACTAATAAATTCAGTTTCCTTGCAGACTGCAGGCAATACAGACAGATCACATTTCAGGTGTTTGGGTTTTTTGTAAAACCACCCACTATGTACACTGGAAAGTCCCCAGGTTTCTACAAATGGTAGGAATCCCATTTCTTCACACACCTGACAAACTGAAGAAGACAAAGCATGTGAGCTTTGAGCAAAACTTGACGTAATTCAACAGGTAACATGGTTTAAAACATGATTCCAGTTTGGTGCTTAGATACTTTGATAGTTCTAAGAGAATTATGGAGCGTGACTGCAAAGCTGATCGTGACCTTTTCTTTGATACTGATCACAGGGAAGCTCCATCCATGCAAACCAACCACCCAATCCCCCAGCCTTACTTACAGCAGCTACAACATTACTCTTCTCATCTCAGGTCCAAGAAAAGGGAGAGAGAATAAGACAACTTCAAGAATATATTTTTCATGAGAAGCACAGAGAAGCCAAAACATGCACATAGTTCTCCCTGCCAACACTTACTGCAAGTACACATCTAAATTTGGATTAGAGGTTTTTGTGGGGGATTTCAGCTTGGTTTTTTGTAAATAAGTTACTAAACATATTTTCCAGATGTTTGGCAATTAGTTCAGTTCTGTTTTACAGAGCTATTCAGGAGATATGTGATTTCTGGTTAATTTACCCCCAGTTCTCCATGCAAACTGTACCACAGCAATGGTAGCAAACACAATCAAAAAAGTCTCCCTTTTTTTGAAGATTGATATGTTTTTTAACAAAACTGCTCACTTCAGATGAGATCTCTTTGTGGTTGCTTAGAAACAGCATTGTCTTTGATTGTTTCTTAAGCATATCTAACTTTCCTTTCCATGGTAACACTGGATAAATTTCTTCAGGCTTCATACACGTCACCTGTAACAGAGTTTCCAATTTCTTTACACTTGTAACAATCCCATGTTGTCACACGTGTTAATGGTCATTTTCCAATCCCACTGACCAAAGGTCAGTGAAGTACAGGATTTATGTTGCTAAGGACTGGGACAGGAATCAATGTAACATTTTCTGGAACTGATTTTTCAGGCTTTTTTTACACTTGTATTGTTTTTTCCAAGAAAAAAACTCAGATAAACTACCATTAATAACTACACTACAAAATTAACTTGTCAGTCCTAGTTGTTTCAACTGTTTTAATGCAAATTGTTTTGCTAAATAGAAGTATGCTGAATGTACTGCAGAGACAAAATGCAATTAGTGGTCTTCTGGAGTAGGATTGTGAAAATACTTTGGCTGGCATTATTTTTCTGATGTTTCTCCAATGTAAATTTATAGTATGGATTAGGCAAACCAATCTAGCAGTGGCCATCCCTTTTTTAAACTGTGCTGTGTAGATTTGCTCTGACTTGAATACATTGTAGCTAGCAAACATATCATCTGGCAATTAATGTCACAATCTAATTATCTGTCACAACAGAAACACATTGGTACTAGAAAGAGTTTAAATCTGTGCATGCAAACAGAGTTAGTCAAGGCACCTTCTGCATTAAGTATCTCCTGCGTGTAAGTTGCAACTACTATCCTGAAAAGAAAAAAAAAAAAGGCAACCCTTCTCCCCCAAAAAAATATTCAAAGCTTTAAGTGTTTTCACTCCTTCTAGAGCCACAGAAATAAAGTTGTTCTGCTCAGCTCAACACAACAGTTGTTCTGCAAATGCTGTTTTGGACAGCAGATGGATAGAGAAAAAGTTTCAATCATGTGGAGCCAGAGATCAAAACTTTCAGTTCAAAATGAAATGTATCAGGAATATGTATAAAAACTGGCACAATCAAATAAAACAGTGCCACTGTTTTAGGGGTTACACTTCAGCACTGAGTATCAACAATTCCAAGCTGCAGTTTCTAGGTATTTATCTACATTTAAAATTAGACCAAATAAAAGGCTGAATGGGAGCTCTGGGTTTCATCCTCTGATCTAGGGACAAGTCAGAGATTTGAAGCAGTAAGTAATACTATTTACTGTAAAATAAACATTCCTAATCTTCTGTGTTCTCCTTCTTAGGGTAATAGCTTATGATTTCTTTCCTGCATAACCTCAACAGGCAGCACAGGGCATGTTCTACAATAGACTAGAGACTGGTAGTAACGGCACTTTCCAAAAGGGAGAGGGGCTGAAGAAGAGAAGGAAGGGAACCACATCCTCCTTTCCATGGTATGTGCACTCCTTTTTAGCCTAGTTCATAGATGATGTATCTATATAACATAATCACTTATTTTATTTTAAGACAAGAAGTTTTTCTAAGAAACTAGGCTTAGTATACAGTACAATCCAAGTCTGTTCTCCAGACTGGGTTATTCTATCAGATTAGGTAAAGTGAAGCCTTAGGTTGGGAAGAAAAAAAAAAAGGCAAATTAATTTGACAGCCTGTTTAGACAAGAGCAGCTCTGGACAAAGACCCAGAGATGGGTGTAACTACACAATCTCAGAGACAAACTGGCACCTGCTGAATTTTGATAATTTTGATACAGGGCTAGTTGGTGCTGTTAGGATCCAAGATGGATCACAACTGGGGACTTGTAGGACTGAGCTTTTAAAGAGCCTGTATTTTGGTTAAAAAGAAGTCCATCATTGGATTTAGTCCTAGAATCACAGAATCACTTAAATTAGATGTTGCTAAAATTCAGCTAAAGTAATAGTTTACAATTTTTTTCTATTTAGATACTTATTAGAAAATTAGTAAACTTAAACAACCCTTACAGACCATAACACCATAAGCTAGTTGAATGTTAAGAACAATGAAGTGATGTACACCTCAAAAGATGAGGCAGCATTTAAAGTTACTCTGTCCTGTTCTTCCTACTGACACCACCAGTTTACTCACTTGTAGCCATGATACCTGGAGGACATGCTGGTATCCCGTGATCAACTGCCCATCTGTAAGCTCCTTCACCAACTAAAAAGCTAGGAGACACAGAAGAGGGAGTTTAAACAAAACCATATAACAAATCCCCCTTTGCTTGCAATTATTTTTTCTATTTGGTTTGGTCATTTTTAAATCATAAGCTGTCTGTATTTCACAGGACTGTCTGCTATCATTACATTTGGCAACCTTATGTAGTTTCATTAAAAGATTATGCAGCTCTGACATTAAATATATTACTGGACAAAACCAAGTGCTATTCAATTTGAAATTCATTACAAAATAGCATCAGCTTTCAACTGCAGCTAAAACAGGACAGAGCTGTCTCCAATCCTGCTCTCTATTACAACTTAGCAAGATCCTGAAGACCAAAAATAGGGGATGAGAACGGTGAGAATGGTAAAGTATTTCCAATAAAGCCAGCCAGTGCCAAAGGAATACCAAAAAGTATTTTGAGAAGTACAACACAAGCTAAAAACCAACTTTTTTTAGACAGATTAAGGTCCATTTCATGGAGTTTTACCAAGCATTTGCAAATGAGACTAGCCCACTAAATTTTAAATATATTTGTAAAAAAACCTCCAGCCATCATAGAAGCTGTTTTCTAGTCAGTACTGAACACTACCATAGTGAGACAGTACACACAGCTATGACAACAAACAAGAGCAAAAAAATACACACACATGGAACTTTTAGGGATAGAAGCAAAAGCAAACCTCCTGTTGTTTCCCCTTAAAGAAATTAATCATACTGCTAAAAAAAGGGTTATGTAGTAGCTGGAAATGAGACACTTTCATAAAGCTGCTGTGCACCACAGTAAAGGACAACTACTTCCAATCTTATTTCAAAAATGGACAATGATGTTAAGAAAAATACAACTGCCTAATGGACACAAGAAGCAAAGACTAAGAATTTTCAGCAAATTGATAAAAGTTTTACAGAAATACCAGAGTTATGAAGATGAGTTTAAAGAAGTTATTCCAGCTACAATGTAGTCCCTGGGGCCATCCAGTTCTCAGCTTCTGAGAACACTATTGATATAGCAAATTTGTTGGCATTAATGCTGCTGGAAGTTTTCTTGACAGCCCTATATCCAACACCTGCAGTTTTCACTATATAGTATTTTGTGGTGGTATTTTCCATCCTCTATATGATTTACTCAATCCAAGAAGTGTGCCCAGTCTTTCTTTACAAAAGTCTCAAAAAAGGTTGATATAAATGAGAATTTGAATTGTTAAATGCATATTTCTTACCATTGTTAGTGCAGCTCCAGGTAAGAATTGTTCACGTTGCAAGATACTGTAGGATAAGTTATTGGGTACTTTGGCAGAACTCAAGCATCTACTGTTAGTTAGTGTAAGTTAGTGCTCAAGAAACAACCTGGCACTGACACATAACATAAATAACTTTCAGTATTAACACAAAAAAGATATGCAAACTGTAGCCAAACTTAATTTAGTATTATTCTTCATTGTCTAAAAAAAGGTGGGTTTGGTCTTTATCGAATAATACATTTTTGGGAAGTAAATAAGGACTTCCTTTTCAATAAAATAATTTACACAGAGAGAAAGGTTAGGCAGGAAAAGTAACAACAAACTCAACATTGGGAGTTTGATATATGATAACCTGAGCACAGTTCAGTCAGAAACACTGTTTTACAAGCAGTTTCACAACTGCCTTTTTGATACTCAAAAGCAGAAAATGTCACTAGTATTTATGAAGAGTGCGAAAAACCATCCAAGAGAGTCTCCAAACTTACGTGATGTGACTGTTTTAGTTTTCTTCCCTACTATAATACACACAGTTTTAGTCTTGAAGATTCATTAAATTAGAGCAGAAAACTAACTGAGGCTACACATCACCACAGAGGTCATCCACCTTTTTTAAACTGATCAGTTTGGATCTTTAAAGGACACCATAATCACAGAAAAGTCAAAATAAACTGTTTACAACACAAACAGCATCAGGATCTCAGTGCTTTGTTGTCTGTACATAAAAACAAAACTACCACCAAGCTTGATTTACTGGGGGAGAGGGAAGAGGGAACAAAGCCAGTGAACTATAGAAAGCAGTCAAAACCACCCCGAGTCTCAAAAGCCTTCAGGCTAATTCAGAATACAATCTCCAAAGGGAGGGAAAAAACAAATACATAAACAAAGGATGAATGAGTTTATTCTCTGCTACTCTGAAAGCTGGGTCTGCACAAACAGAACATAAAGATCTTTCTTACAAACATATCAGACAGAGTACTCTGTAGTTCTTGCAGGCTCAGAACACAGAGGATGAAAACACCCTCCCAGCAAGGAGGCAGTGCTCAGATGTGCTTTCCAGTTCCAGGCACACTAGGCCATATTAACAGAAAATATAAATAGAGGCCTCTAAAATGGTCTTTTTAGGCATTTTTCTCCAAAAACATGATTATCCTGGTGCTGAATACTCCAAACAGGACCCTTTACTATGGGCTGTAGAGAAACAGAGGCTGCTCCAAGCTAAACAGAATTGTCAGAAGGCTTGGTTCTTGGTCAAGGAGATCCTGATTGTAGTAAATACTCTTTGTAACATTTTATCATAAAACGTAGCAAGCACTCTGAAAGCCGTGTTACAAAGAAGAAATTGTTCTCAAGAAATACAGAGCAGAGATAAAGAGTGGTGTAAGTCCTCATTCACTCTGGGAACTTTTTTGACTAGGCACTGCCCTACAAGCTACACGATGTTTGTATCCTGCACACAATATCGTAAAGCTTTGAAGCAATTACCAATCCCTGCATATCCAAAGTGGGGGAAAAAACCTAAGAAGGAATTCTTTCCCATATAGTTATTATTGAGAAAGGGATATGGGCATGGACTTGATGTCAGTACTATTAAGGAATTCTAAGAAAGGAGACATTTAGGTGCATTTGTGCTGTCCTACAAATCTTACCAACATACATTTAGGAGCAGACAGATGTAAAGAAGCTTCTTCCCTTATGTCAAGGTTTCACTGTAGGAAACAGAAAACCTCAAGCTTATTACTAAAAAACATCTAATCCATTACTCTGTAATCAAAGACTGCTTCCAAAGGTTCATCCAGTTTGTAATCATGCAATTACTAAAGTACTTTCTTTTGTGAAAGTTATACAAGGAACAGGAATATCTTACAGGAGATCATGCAATATTTACAAGTCAATTATTTTCTGTTCCTGCATCAGAGAAAATCCTAACACCAAGCTGAATGAAGTAAGGCAGGACCTTAAGAGATTTCAACAACTGCACCGTGCATTCAGGGCTTCTCTAAACTTTTTTAATTCTATTTGGATTGTCGAATTCTCTGTTTTAAATAACACAACAAGAAATTGATCCAGAAGGACACACTCTATAGAACAATTTACAGCACATCAGATACATCAGTTCAGACACTTGATGCCTCCTTCCCAATAAGCTTACAGTCTCTGAATAACTTAATTCACACTCATTGGAATTTTTTCTGTGGAAAATCAGAAATATACAACTTTGAATTGGTTTTGAGCTGCCACTATGAAAATGTGTGCTGCATGGGGGTAAACAGGCCAAGCAAACTGTCTCCACATGTTCTTTTGTAGTGAAAAAAAACTCCCTAATGCCACTTTTACTAATCTCACAGCTCCTGAATTTTTCCTGTTTGGTCATGAGCCAAACATTTTTGGCAGAAAACATTAAGCTAGCTTAGATCATGCTATAGAAACAGTCTCTACCATAAGTTCTTAGGTTAAGCAGTATCTGGAAGATTCCCCAAAACACTCTGCGGCATTGAGAACCAAGATGAAAATCATGTACCTTTACAATTAAAAATCACTTACTAGAATCCTGACACTTCCTAGGAATGCCAAAATATGGCTAAATTCTTGTCATTTGACTCTAAGTATTCCCAGCACGGACAGGAATATATTTCAGTCCCTAAACAATGTGTCATGCCAACCCCAGCCAGAAAGGCAATGCATGAAATCCTCCATACCATCACCTTTGATGTACATGAGCTTTATCATTCTGACCTTGGTGTGTATAGAAGCATCCACCACAGCAAGCCCAAAGCATAACCCATCATATCCCACTAGTATAGGTTGTTTCCAGGGTAAAAAATTTGTCTTAAGATGAGCATTCAAAATCCAGAAAGGGGAAAAGAGGAAATGAAAATATTTATCAGGTAACCCAAGTGCACAACATTTGCACAATAAACTGCATATGTTAGTTCCAAAGAGAGCTCATCTCCTACCTCAAGATTTGAATTATCCTGTCTTTATAAGCATCTTCTAGCCTTGCATAGTCCTCAAAAGATTTAGTCTTGCCCTTGGAGGGCAAGAGGTAGTTCCTTTTCCACAGAGTGTTTTTAAAATAATAGCATCATAAACTAGGTCATAAAGTCACAGCAAAATACCCAAGTGCTCTTCCTTGCAGTAATTCTAGAACACTGATGATACAAGTAAAATAATCCCAAGTGCTTGCTCCTGTAGCTGACTTCAGTACTACTTCTGGAACATCAGAAAAACACATTTCACACTCATTTCACATTCAAATGTACCTCAGCAAAACCTCGTTTTCTTCTGGCAGCTAAAGAAGTGAGCAGCTAACAGCTACTGAAATTAAAGTTCTTATTTTTTTGTAAACCTCTCCACAATTACTCTGTTCTTTATCCATTATAGAAAAGTGTTTAAAATGCAAAATCTGTCAGCTGATGATTTGATTTCAAGGTGGTTTTTTTCAATCTATGAACTTTTCCTGAACATGACAGAAGAGTGAAATCCTCACTGTTTAAACTGGAATACTGCACCATCCAGCTATAGGCTACTTGGCTAATTTTACAGAACACTACAGCAAGGAAAGTAAAATTTGTAAATCTAATAATTTATTTTTTTTTAAACTACATAAATGCTGGTTTAATACTTCTGCAAATACTGACCACTAGCAGACAAAGGGCAGCAAATTCAGACACAGGTATGATAACTGATGATAGTAGTCAATTAATATTAATGAATTAGTCAAGTTGTCTACCTGTCAGATTAAACTACTAATGAAAATAAGATGGTTTTAAGAGCAATCAACTCTGACACATTTCTTGGATTCTTTCCAAAGTGAGGCAATAACATTTGAAGTTATTCTGCATTTAATACTTACCTCTTCGATCTAAGTTTTATATCCATCTCAATGAGGGACTGCTTGTTTTCATTTTTGTTGTAAATGTTATTAAATTTATCCTTAAAATAAGAGGAAGTAACTAAACACTGAACATTTCCACAAAGCCACAAAGGCAGTAAAATAGGATTTTTTTCTACTTATTAAAGACTGTTGCTTTTTGTTAAAGGTAGACAGAGACAAAGGCAGTAGAATTTCCCTTTAATCTTGATGTTTTTTTGGGATTTTACAAAAGGCTACAGTAACAAACATAAGAATTAAGTATGACAACTAGAAATAATTAGACGGACAGAAAACTATCACAAAATGATGTTGCCATCTATATCCAATATTTCCACTGAGTGCACAAGAAGTTTCAAGATTAGAGAACAAAGCTTATCTTCTTTTTAAAGGCACACTATCACTGGTATGTAAAACAACACCAGCCTTGCAGGGTGAGATAAAACCTTCAAATATTGCATCCATGCAGTAGAGACGAAAGAGTGAAGAAAAGTCAAGCAGAACAAAGCAATTACCAAGGTGGAATTCTGCCAGCAGAGAGTTTCCCCTTCTGCCCTTCACACAACAATCTATTTGCAACCGAAACTGGATTCTTGATTCCTAAAAGAGAAAAATTAGCAACAAAATGGGAACAAAACATTAAAATATTTTTCCTCATTGCACTATAGTGTTCATTTTGGCAGTGGAACTCAGCTTCCTTTAATTTCCAAGGGTTTGTCAAGTCATTATGAGACACCTTATGTTGCAATGTAGTAAGAACTTTTTCAGTTTTCCCTTGACATGCTGTTAGTAGTGACAAAGCTTTCTAGTCAACACGTCCCCCACTTTTTTTTAGAAGAACAAACCATATTGAAAAAGGGGGAGTGATCTATCATAGAAATCTCATGTAAAATCTATTGTATCTAAGGGCCAAAGATGTTTATAAGCATTAATTTTCCTAGGTGGAATTTTCATTTGGATCTGGCCAGAACAGAAATTACAGAATTCAGATTTAGCTGTCTCTCACTCTCAGTTTCCTTCTTCCTCTCCTTCCTTCCTTATCCTTGTTTTTGTAACAAACAAGGCTTGAAACACTTAATTTTACTATTTATTTTAGATTTATATCTACATGAGGAAGCTATTACCACAGTTTAGAACTATTCTAGGATAAAGAACAAAGCTTGAAATCTTGTCAGAAGAGCTGTTCAATAGTAACAGCTAAGGCCGTTCATGTACTTAGAATGAAACCTCAACAATCCCTGTTTGGGACTTTATATTTGTTTTATACTGAAAGCTAAAACTAGACAAAAGAGAGAAACACATTAGTTCTCATATTAAATAAGTTCCATGTGCAAATAAATGCCTGAGCACAAAACCAAATAAAAAGCCTAATTTAAATACTTGTATTTTTTAACAACTGAATTTTATTATGAAATTCAAATTCATCTGAGCACACTGAGTCCCACTGTGAATACTGTGGGGTATCACACAACTGTGCTACGTCAAAGGATTATCAGCAAACTAATAAGACAACATGTTACACAAAGAAATTAACCCAAACCAGCACTTCAGGGAGCAGGAATGCCTCCCCTTTTTTTAAAGGAGTAGAATTTATTTAAACACAGCAGAATTTAAAATGTGCCCCCCTTCAAAACAATTACAAAAAAACCCCAAACTGATCTTTGCAGTTAAATCAGTAATTAGCTTTGTAATACATAATTAACATACCACTCAGCGCTCCAACTGCTCCAAAATTCAATGACTTTCCATCCATTATACTGGCATCGCACTCTATCTCACCCAGAAGGTTTAGGTTAGATCCCAATCCTGCATTTGTAAAAGGGGAATCCTAAAAATAAGAATGAAACACTATAAGGCTACGTCCAAAACAGACTAGATCAAAACCTCTGTATAACTGATCTGATGACATCGATCTTGGTGCAATGCATTTTCTTATTTTAATAGTTTAATCTTCCACAGCAAAAACAAGGGCAATTTGAACAGAGCATCTAAAATTACTACCATGGACAGCTTTCATCTCTGGAGAGCATGATATATCTCAAATGTAATAATGCACTAATAAAAAACCAATTATCCAATTTAAGATGATCAGTTCCATGCAAGACAAAGCCTTACAATACGAGTGAAAATCTCTCCCTCCCCCAAAGCACACACTTAGCTTTGTCATTAACCCATCAGGTAACATTTAAATAACACCTTATAATCACTGCACAGACCAATCAACCTTTGAAACTCCTGAAATGACACCATAGCAAAACAGAACTGTCCTCTTTCTGAACATTCTGAGCCCATGACTGCAGCTCCACATGCAGAAATGAAGACCTAGCACAAACAATTCATTTTGTAAAACTCCTATTTGACTGTTAGCACAAGGACTGTGGTCTGGAAGCTTCTTGACTAATACTTCCATAGTAACTATGGAACAACATTTTAACAACAATCATAAACCTAGCTCCTTTTTTGTTAACACATGCTGTGGCTTTTACGAAACCCAAGGTAGTCAAAGAGTAAGTTCTGCATGCTAGAACTAAACCCCATTTGTACCCCTCCATTTCATCAGAGCATCCCCATGACTTTAAAATGACAAAATTTCAAAGTAGCACAGTTCAGCAGTCTCACTGCTAACTCAATACAATCCCCTCTTCTAGATGCAAGGAATACAGGACAAAGAGAGATAATAGCTGAATCCAATCTCAGAGAGATGCTGCATGCTTTCAGAGTTTCCTATGTTTAAATTACAACAGTGTAACAACCTGATGTGACAAAGAATAATGTTTGTTTAATCCAAGTGTGAACATGTACTGCAGAGATATGACATCTCATTTCACTGATGAGTAATAAAAGCTGAATCAGGAAACAAATTACTGGAAACAGCTCAAAGTTCTGTCCTACAATTAAAATTAACTGGATGGATTTTGAACATACCAATTTGCAATGAATTTAAAGAAATAAAACAGAGGTGAGAACACAGAAATGAAAAATAAATCTGATGTCAGTTAGCTTTTATTAACTTTCAAATGAACAAGTAGTGAGTAAATTCAAAATCTGTTCTGCAAGATGTTGATTCAAATTTACAGGGACATGTGAAGAGCTCTCAGTGTTTGAGTCATCAAAACACTATCTTTCTGAATAATCATGAATACAAGATCCCTGACTGATGCATAATCATGAAACTGGCCTTAATTTTCTGCTTTTTCCTTCTGAACCAGCACAAGATTTTATGCTATTTTATCCCACATCACAACACTTCTTCCAATTCACTGTCTATATTCATTTTGTTGTTCATTTTGACAGCTACACCTCACAGCAAATGAGACATTTGAAAACATTTTAGGATAATGCAACATTTACAGTTTAGAGTGCACAAATAATTTTCTGTAGAAAGGGAATGGATGGGGAAAAATATGTTTAGAAACAGATGATGGCCTTCAAAAGGCAGAAGACTCCAAGTAGCTGCTGGCTTAGCTGGCTTCATTGCTCCCCAGGCTCTACAAATATGAAGAAAAATAAGTCAGTGAAGTTTAGAAAAAAAGGGAGCAGAGAAGTGGTGGAAGGAATTGAAAGCCAACGGTGAAAGGTACTTAGAAACCACAGGAACACCAGGAATGCTTAGGATGAACAATGCTTGCTCCTAGTGCTGTCCAAGTCCTCTGCCCCTGGGTAATCAGAGTGCAAAGACCTGTGAGTCTGGAGACAAATCTCTAATGTTCTGTTCCAAACACATTCACTCAGTGCATTATACTCCAAAGAATTAGCAAAGAGGAAAAAGGCTGTGCTCCACAGGTTTGTTGCTGCCACAAAGCAGAGACAGCTGTTACCTTAAGAGGATCTGTATGTGCTACATGCTTTGGCATAGCACCTTCACAGCATGACCTCAAGCATGCACCGAGAGATAATTTAATTACAGGATCTAAAGACAAAGAGAATGTCACCTATTTCTCCCTATGAAATATTCATCAGAATACTACAGAATTTTTGATAAATAACAACTCCACACCAAATTGCAGATGTCTCTTTGGTGGGGTAACTCTCATATTAGGACTCAGAAGGAATCTCACCAGTAACAACATGAGTAACTTCTCCAGGAAAAAGAAATAACGACCAAATTCCAAGCATCTGTTCAAAATTTCTGTGGAGTTTCAATTAGCTTTAGAATCAGATTGCATTAAATTAAGAAAACAGTCTCAGAATTCCTAAGAGGAAGATGGTTTAACTTCACACATCTGAAAGGCAATCTGAAAACAGCTTTAGAGAAACTGGGTGTGAACTCATGGAATTTCTGATATCTACCTGAGTGTCTCTGAGGTGAGATAAAAGCCTTTGAAACAAGGCAGGGGAAAACCTTTATTAAAAAAATGGGAACATGACATTCACACCTACTTCTGTGAATAGGTGAAGACATGAAATACACCACACAAATACAATCTCTTTTTGAAAACATTAATCTCTGCGAAGTCTGACCAAAAGATTTCAAGAGTCTGATATGCAAGTGGAGGAATATAATGTATGAACATTAAGGTGCATTTTGAAATGAAAATTCAAAACTTTTAAGGAATGCAGAAACATTTAACCAGAAGCATGAATACCTTCAAAGGGGGAAGAAACAAACTGTCCTAAGTGAGTCTGTTCATACCCTCAGACAGAAAAATGCAGCAAGACATGACTACCATAAAATGGGGAAGAACCCAAGCAAAGCATGTGTCCAGGAAAAGGAAGGACAGGAAAACAGAAAAAGGTATCTTCAGGAATATACTTTTATTAAAACCACAAGCAGCAATCAGCCTTTGTGTTTTTAAGGAAACTGAAAAAGACAAGTAAGCAAACCAAGACTGAGATTTGCATGTTAACAGCAAGCCTTGCCACCACAGAATAGTAAGCACAGAGAAAAGACAAATTCAAAGCATTTTAACAAAATATAACTCTTCAATTATGTGAAAATATTAGACCTCCTGGCAATTACTCCACAAAGTATCTCTAAGTTACCATGTAAACCTGTAGCAAAGGAGGTAAGAGAAAGCTTCAAGGCCTGAAATAAGCTTTGTTTTCCCAAGTTATCCATCTTGCAAAAACTTTCAAACTTCTGAGGGTATCAGTTTTATTTTCAGAACCCTGTTTATTTCAAAATGTATTTATAAATGTTCTGGCAGCAAGTACAGGCATCCTGAAATTACTATCTGTGGTCAAAGTTGGAATGCTTGAAGATGCTACTCAGCTCTGTAATACATCTAGGCAAATAGTTAAAATGCTCCGTTTTCAATTAACTTGAAGGAACACTCCATCCATGATACCGTTTTGGCCATGGCTTATTTGGAACTTCTAAAACAAATTCAAAGTCTACAGGCACTTCTTTCCACATACTGTAATTTTAAAAGTTATCTTTCTGTGAGAATTTCATGGCAATCAATATTCTACAAGGATGAGTCACATCCCTTTCAATTACACAAGCAAAAATGTTTTTAGACAACATTTTTGTCACAAATTACTTTCAGTCGCTCTGCAGCAAAACATCATAGTATTGCTTTTAACTAGAATTAACAACTTCCAGTTCATTACCCATTAGAAGTTCATCTATGGTGACTGCCTTAATACAACAAGGATGCTTCTGCTTGAAAGAGAAATCTTTGGGACTAAGACTGTATATTCAAAAGTCTTAATTGCTAGGCAAATAATTTTAAAAAAACCCCAAAAACAAAAACAGAGGAAAAAAACAATTAATCAAGAAAAATGTACTTTCACTGCAAAATTTTACTGACCACAGAACCACACTGCTTGAGTATAACAACAGGTCCAAAACATTCTTTGCACTGATCTGCAATACCAACATGCAAAATAAACTCAGCAGTTTCAGTAGCAAGGAGATTGGAAATGTGACATCCACTTCCCCATCAACCATATTACCTTCCAATTGAAATTATGTTCATAAAGAATATTCTACTAAAGTCAGATAAAGAAACAAGTAAGCTACATACATATTAATGAAGGATTACACTAAACTTAGAAACAATTTGAAATCTTCATCATTCTTTACAACCACTGTACATGACTGTCTCTAATACCTGACCTATAGACTTCATTAAGTGCTCTATAGTCAAAAAAAAGCTTGAAATTGCATCATTTTCTCACAGCCAGACAGAAATGCAAATCCACATGTGGTTGTGCTGAAAACAGCATGTTTTAAGTGGGTTGTGTGGGGTCTCCTCCCCACCACAAAAAAAAAACGTGTTTAATAATTTTGTTGTGTTTCAACAAAAATCCAGGCATCATATGGTGCCTGATAGCAAGAGTGCAACAATTAACAGTACTGCAATAATGTCTTTGTAGAAGTAAACAGAGCACAGTTGTTTAAACAATATTCTGTGTCAGTCCTGTTCCTTTGCAAAAGAAATTCACCTTTTCCTCTAGTTAACTCTTAGCATTATTATCATATTCACAGAACACCATTTCAATGAAGAGCTGCACTAGATCCGACAAAGGCTGTTCTTTCTGCACTTAGAGCCTGAAAAAATAAAACACAGACAGCATACCACAAGCAAACTGTCAGCTTACTCATAAAAGATCAAGAGCAATTCTTGTGCCTCAACAAGTCTTTGAAGTGATGCCTTTTGGATGAGCTGTAATCCTGTGTAACAGGAGTTCTGTAATTGAGTGGAACTGAAGAAAAAAATTAATCTTTTGTGAGATTTCCACGAAAAATTGTATGTGCCTTGCAAAGACTACAAATGTTTGGAATGCAGCATTAGAAGTCTGAGAGGACTGTGAAAGTGAATAAATATTTCAGATAAACTCCTAGCAATGTGTCCTACAGAAACCAAAATATCAAGCAGTTACAGTCAGTATACCTTACAAAGAAATCTGTTATCATTTAATACAATTTTTTGTTGTTCTACGTCCTCATTTGTGTTACAGGGAGACAAGAAAACAAACAGTTTCACACAGATTTTTGTTATGTATTTGCCAACTTCAAATGCTAAAACACATTATGTTTATGCTAAAGCATAACCAAAAGGGAGTGACAGCTCACTAGAGAGACTGCCAACACAAACCTGTATTTTTACTCATAAAATCTTGCACTTAATAAGAAAAACCATTCTGATTGCTTTGTTAACTTGCCACGTGCAGCTTGTTTTCCACAGAGCAACAGAAAAACCACTGGTACTAAACCAGAAGATGCAGCTCCAGAAATGACAGATGTCTGGAGGTGGTGTTCAGAATGAGGTATGAGTAGATACAAACACAATACAAACCTTTCCCTATTTTGGAAGCTGACAGTCCTAACACTTGGGAGTTTCTCATACCAGATCAAAAAAACTGCCACTGCAAACCACACCATTTTCTGGCTTGGGTACAAATTTTACTTCTCCTCACTGTAACAGCCCAATTAACTACTTTAATCTGCAAGAATCCCAAATCCCAAACCCAGTACTCCCTATTCCAGTAACAGACAGAACCCTCAATTAAGAGATTATATAAATCACTTAACGAATAAATGAAAGCAAATAATTGCATTAATGACTGCAGTAAAACCTGAATAAAATAACATTTTATCTTAAAAATGGGAAAAAGGAAAAAAAAAAGGTTTTGTGCAACGGAACAAAAAAATACTACCTAAGACAACTGCAGAACCAGAAAGTGGAATGATAGAAGGCATCAGTACAGTAGTAGTAAGATAGGTAAGGAGAAAAAGGTTTCAGATTGGAGTAATTGGAAAAAACCTTTTTCATTTCATTTTAAAGCCACAACTTGTTCTACAGAAGCTACTTCAGAGTATTTAAATCTACTAAAGTAAAAGTCACTCAGGTATAACAAAAACGTATTTACCCCAGACAGCTGCAAAGAGATCTATAACTGTTCAGTTAAGCTTCTCAAAGTATGTTTTCCTCTGTAGCTCAGGAAGTCAATAAAAATCACAACCCAAAGTAAATTTTTATTTTTGTTTTCCACTGAGAAGGGGGTTGACACACAAACCAGTCTCATGGAGTGAGAGCAGCCTCAGTGAGCTTAGGGAAGTGCATCATAAACAATTCCATTAGAGAGAAACCCACTGCTTTCTGCGAGCTATACTCTAATGTGTAAGATAACACATGAAAGCATGTTTGAACAGCTCAGTGAGACCCACAGGAGTGCTAAAAGCCAAGGCACTTGCCAAGTTCACAGTGTGACTGAAGCCTTGGCTCCACGTCAGCGTGTCTAACACATACTGAAGTACGCACTTACTGCCTGCCTTACGCTAACCCCATCAAGTACATTAATGAACACTTTCCCAACATCTGGGTAAGCAAATCCAGTGCTAATCCTCCTGGAATACTACCATAAATTCCAAGAGCAGGAAATTATTTTTACAGCACAACACTTACCTTACCTTCATTTTTTTACTAATAAAGTTGGAGAGGAAGAAGCAATTACTGCTTACAGGAGAAGAATAATACCTATTTCCATCATTACAGTCATGATGGATTAGTGGATCTGGGACAATGACCAAACTGACTCATTTACCTCCCAGAAATGTTTAGCTTTACTCACTTCTGTATTATTTCACAGAGACCTTCACTGAAGGCAGATACTATAAAAATCCCATCACTCCAAAAAGACACTTTTCCAAAAAACTCACCAGCAGCTGCTCATCAAGATGTTCCGTCGCAATTAACAAGTACTGTTTTGAAATACAAGCATTACTTGCCCTATTCCTCTGCACACATTTTGTCATAATAATCAGAACCAGTAGGATATTTCTCCCCTCTCTAAGAAGCAGAGCCAGAACAATCTGTCTGTAGCTCAGCAAGTCAGAAATAAAGTTCCTTACAAAGTGTTCAATAAGTCTTTAATCACCACATTTATTCCTAAAGGGTAAAGACTATCTGATAAGGCATACCTAAGATGACAACCAAATTGCACCAACTAGAAAACTTTTATTCAGTTTGCATTTTTATAAAGTACTTAAACATATTTACACCAAAATATAGTAGAAAAGCAAAAGATAAAATTAATGCAGTACAAAAACAAAAATCCACTGAGAGTTCCCATTTAATATCCCCCTACAGAAATGTCTGGTAAGATTTACCCAAGATATATTTACTAGTACTCAAAAATTCATACCTCTAATTCTATAAGTGCTGCAGTCACTGCATCTGTCGCAAGAGCACCAGCCTGTAGCTTTTCAATTGCCTGTAAAACAGAAGTTTTAGCTGATGATTAGGAAATTCTATTATTCTGTGACTGAGCCCTACATTTTCCAACTCCTGTGTAAAACAGAATCTTCACCAAATTAGTTTAAAATGTAAGAACGAGAGGCACTGGAAAAAGTCAGTATGAATAACACGAGGGCAGATCTGCAGATATGATTTCACTACTATGACATTGTGATGCTGCATTTAATAGCTGATTTCTACACAGTCAAATTTATATAAAAATAACTTCTTATACTTGATGCCCTCAAACACCAAATGCTTCAGTCAACACGTTTCAACTTTTTCTTCCAAAATTCAACAAAAACTTCTAGTACCATGTATAGAAATTACCATAAAATTAAAGAGAATTTCACAACTTCATCTAAAAGCCAACACAAATCAAGATAATGTTACCTTCAAATTATATACACACAACAACGAACTTGTAAAGCCTAATAGTATTTATTAGATCCATACTGAACAAGACCTTACAGTCAAGCTTTCTCAGGGAACACCAGAAAACAACTCTGCCTGCAAGAAAAACCTGAAATTGTTTGTTCTTCACAGAAGTTATTGATGTTGGCTACTCAGCTGAAGAGCAGCTACACAAAATCTCAAATTGGACTTGAATTCAACAGCAGATCTCACAAAACTAGCTGGAAAATTACTTTAACCAAGGCTAACAAAGCCAGTGTTAAGTTTGTTTGATTTGTGAGGCCTCTCATTACAAAATTAGATTGGTATTAGGATTGAGCAACAAACTGTAACACAAAGTGATAATTATCAGAGACCAACTCTGAGACTCTTCTAAAAACCCTGCCAAGCTCCCAAGCTCCTTCTCCCTGGAGAAAGCAAAAGACATTAAAATTTTTAGAGAGAGGTCTTCCAGCTACTCATTCAACACTTAAATGACAGGACTTGCCAGTTCCAAAGCAAAGTTCTTGGAAGAGATGAAAACATATTAATGTCAATGGAAATGAAAGTCTTGCCATTTCTCCCTTTCCAACTTTGATTTCTTTGGTTTTGTTCTTCCTGTTTCTACCTCCCTATCTATTAAGAGGGTAAGAGCTATCAAGAAGAAAATAATTCTAGAAACCCCTGCATTCACAGAGCAACTTGGATGCTAGAGTTTAAACAAACTCCAAAGAGTGGAAGAAATCAAAATACAGACACCACATTTAGCTCCAGAAAGCCCGGAGAAGTGCAGGAAGCTGCAGGAATACCCCTTGTAGGTACCAGTGTTATCCCACTGTTCCTTTGGTGCCTGCTCTTTCCCAGCACTGATGAGGATGTTGCTGCATCTCATGGCCACACACTGTCCTGTCTCTATCTCATGTTAACTGTTTCTGCTCCATTTTCCCCAGTTCCCTCTATAAACACATACAGCACGAGCAGCTAAGTCCAGATACCTCTTGTGTACCCAGTCCAGGACTGTGGAGCTGGTGACACGTACCTTCTGGCAGGCTCTTTTGCACACATGCTTGTACTCTTTAGCTTTGGATTCGGAATGATAACCTGCACCTGCAATTGAAGCAAATGGTAAATATTTTACAGTACCTGGCTAACTACAGCCTGTAATTCACACAGAGATTTAAGACATAGGCAGATACAGTGTTCCTTATTCTGGATTACATTGGCATTTCCTTTTTCTATCAGTGATTGACAACTTCATGCATTCCAACACTGAATCAAACACACTCAGTTAAACACAGGATACAGATCATATATCCAAAAGCATGCAGGTATAAATATCAGCATCAATCTCTTCCTATAAAAACATTCCAAGAAATTCCAGTTTCACTCATTCTTAAGAGGATGTCCAGCATAGCTTTTTACTTTACTGTCCATTATTGGACAGTAAAGTTTTAAGTTCAAAATTTTGACTTAGTATAATCTTTTTATCATAATTACCATTCTGCTCATTTTCTCATGTTTTGCTACATTTTTATAGCTTGTTACTCCTGACTTAAAACAAGAAGTTCCTTGAAATGAAGATCATGCAGATTTTTCACCTTTTTCTTATTTTCAGTCTTTATCCCATTGTATTGAACCATTCTGCCTCATTTTGAAGCCACTGCCCCTACTTTCATACCTGAAAAATTTATCAATTTGTCACCATTCAACTATATGCAGCATCAGAAAAACAAGAGCGGCACACTTATACTTAAAATCTACTTCTGTTTTACCAGGCTTTGCACCTAAAAATGTGCCTTCACCTCAACTTCCCTTTGCTCACCCTCAGAAATATCACTTATTACAAACTCTAACAAAATAAATTTTAACACTAATACCAGAATGAAAGCAGAGGACACTATACTGAGTGTCAGTCCAGTAAAGGACACTATATTAAGCAATCTCATTTGCCCTTAAAATAGAATACCAGGGTCATCAAACATGAACCCAGAATAAATTATTTGAGGTTTGGGGTTGGTTTTTTAACCTTAATTATTTTATACAGCAAGTAAAATGCTGGCTTTTCAAATATTTTAGGCGTGACCAGGCCAGTTTCGTTTATTTCACGTCATATACTCACACAGATGCTCAGAACAAATCTACACCCGGATATAAGCATTGTTAATTTCATGATTCATAGTATTTAATAAAGACCCCATGAGAGAAGAATTTATGAGCAACACACACATAACAATATTTAGTATCAGATCTGAGTAGAGGAGCCGTTCATTTTAAGTGGAAAGAATAAACAGTACCTCACTTAAACATGAACAAGATAAAAAAAAATAGACTTGGAAGAAAAATGTCAGAAGGGTAAAAACAGTTCCGCAACAAAAAGCCCAAGGAGATTTGAGAAGATCTGAGCTGGACTGACCTCATGACAAGCTAGACAAGAAACCATCAGTAATGAAACCACTGTATTTCATCCTTCTGTAGATAAAAGAAATGGACTGAATTATCTCCCTCATTCTGTAGGTTTGCTAAGCTTAGCAGACAACTGCAGAATATGATATTTTATAATCATTCAAATTTGGAGGTTTTCTTTGTCAAAGAGAACAAAATACCATCCAGAACACCAAAATAGCTACATTTTTATTCAGAGTTTATTGTGCAACTTCCAATCAAACTTCCCATTCTGAGACTTGCCCACAGAGTTAATGTCACTTTATTAGCACACTAGTAGTCCAAAGCCACTATAAAATTTTTGTTGGTAATTAGTTTGATATCAAAATATGCATTATTTTCATTCCAGCTGTTCTTCTTCCACATCTTACCTGCATGGACAAGCACAAATCCCACTCGCTTCCCTCTTTGGGTTTGCTTTGCTTCGGGCTCTTTGACCACCACTTTTACAGCTGTAACCTGAGATGATTTGGAAGGTAATACTTCTACTGAACTTATCCCCTTCTCCATGATCATACATTAGGATCACCATCTTCTACTGGGAAGGAGCACACTTCCACTCAAAAAGAAACTCCGGAGAGAAATCATCCTAAAACCAGATCAAACGTATATGTTAGACACTGATTTTAAGATATGAGTTTCACACAAATAACCTCAGAAAGAACTTTTGGGAGAGAGGTTTGAACCAAGGGGAACACACCTCTCCAAAACAAGGCTTAGAAGTTCAGCCCCTTCCCTAGCCAACAGCATTAATGAGACCTAAAATAATCAAAGTCCATGTTGCAAGCTGAAAGCAGCCTTTTCACTACAACAGAAATGATCTTGCCATACACTGGAAGGAACTATCAACATAAGTTTTGCTTTCCATGGTGTCCTGTTTTTCCAATAATACAACTAATTTCTTCACCCATCACATCTAACTAGCACATGAATAACCCTTTAAAACACCACACTTTTTCCTTTCTTTTGTAGAGAATACCTGTTTAAGGTCCTATAATGAACTCCTATTCTTCTATACCGTTTCATCCCATCTCCTTATAATTCCCCACTAATTTGCAGCAGGAAAAGAAAAAAATCAATTA